ACAACTGAAACACTGTCAAGGCTATAATGGAACTTATTTTGGGCCCAGCACAGGGCAGATACTCTCCAAAAAGAAGGCAACAGGCCGTGGCATCCAGACGCAGTGTGGCTGCCATCTCCCATCTCATGACTTGACATTGACGGACAGATGGCCTCAGAGAGAGCTTTATGGATCATATCTCAGTAACCACCGGCCCGCCTGTCAAATCCAGAGGTGTAGGATGGCATTGGACCCCAGATCTGGAAGAACTTAGCAACTTCACAGTTTCCAAATGCAGGGAGAGAGGGATGCACACAGAGAAACCAGAAAAGCATAGGAGAGGGCGCAAGAGAGAAAATGAAAACACTCTGTTTCCACTGGCAGATTCTGTCTTTGCCAGGAAAACGAATGTTGACTTGGTAAGCACATAATTCAATTTTCTACACACTCAGACACAAAGAAAAGCCAGACACTGGGAGAAATTGCTGCTACCATGCTTGCTTCTTGTTGGCAAGGGCAACATGTACACGAAGTAAGCTTCATGTGAAAGACCTGATAGCATAAAAGGGTAAATGCCTCCATGCTTTACATACAGTATGATCTCAATGATGTGAAAATATCTGTCTGTCCAAATACCTATCTTCATTTCTAACCAGCTTGCTTTATGTTCATAGACAAGAATGACATCATGAAGCCACAAAGAGTGTGGGGAGGAAGCAAATAGTTACTGAATAAGAATCGAATATACCGCAGCTTCACTCTGACCTTTATGGTTTGTAGTAATTTTTATTGAGGTTCTTTTAAATTTTGATTACAAATTTTATAGTAATCATTGAAATTTTTTACAATCCAGAAGAAACACCATCATTGAAATTTTTGACAATTCAGAACAAACATAATCAACCAAATTGAATTCCCTTTTTATTCCACTCCTTAATATCTAAACATTGTTAATATCTTGTTGAGTAGCCATTCAGATTAGAAAGTTCATGTACATCCAAGATTGCTGTTGGTTGCAGCATGGAGACAAGAATGACCATCGGAGGCTAAGCTTAGCTTTGGTTTTTGGAAAGGCAAAGGGACAGCCGCCCACCCGTGTCACCCGAGGCTCTGTAATCAGTGAGGTTTCCATCCGTCCCATGAATGAAACACACAAAGGCATGTTATTCACCTTCCACAGGTAACTTAGAGGTTTAGAAAAATCGTATGATTGCTTTACATATTGAAATTGTATCGATCAGCTTTAAAGTAAATGTAAATTTATTATTGTGACAATGACATGCTACAGAGAGAGCTTTTGGGATCACATCTCTGGAAGCAGCGACCCAGCTTGTCAAATCAGGCCAGTTGGGATGGCATCGGGCTCCAAATCTGGAAGAATTTAGCAACTCTGCAGTGCCAAATGCAGTGGGAACACACACACAGACACGAAACCACACACACAACCACACAACCACACACACACTGAGAAAGGTATTGACTTTATGTGCAATAACAAACGTTAACGATCCTCAAATGTTGTCACAGAAATTAAAGGATGCAAACGAACAGTGGAGACTGTAATAGGCAGATAACTTAGGAAGACCTAAATATGAGTCAACAAATGCTTCAAGACAATTTTAGCACAAGGTAGAGTTAAGTAAATGAGAAAATAATCCCGAAATGTGTATGATATTTTGTGTGCTGCCATTCATCTCATTAAATGAAACAATTTTAAAGAACTAAATTTGATTTAGTAATTTTATTTCATTTAGAATATGAAGCTTTCAACAGAACAGTCTACTTGGGAACTTAGCGCATCTTATGAGGATCAAATAAAAGCAGAATGTCAGCCTTTCCACTTGAAATTCCATGAGGAGGGAAAACTCCAAACCCATGTACCAACCCACCCAAGAGAATTCCTTTCTGCTCTGGACAGGACCCAGCATGTGGGGGTCTGGAAACACTTTCAGAGCGTAGCTCTGAGCATTTTTTTGCCTGATGTCAAAATTCCATCCTCCTCCTATGCCACAGATGAAAAAATATTTGCGCTGGAAGCAAAATGAACAAATATGGAAACTGAGTCTGGCCCTGGGTCAGGGTGGGGGCAGCCCTTGGGTCGGGGGAGCACTGCCTGGTTCTGGGGGATGTTCCGGAGGATTCCCACTCTATGGGTGCACTGCCCTTTACAGCTTGGAAAGTGGGTTCTCCATCTGATATCTCAATCAACTGTCCTCAAATCTTTGAGGTAGGGTTGGCAAGTGCCCCATTTTACAGATGATGAAACTGAGGTGCTTAGAGGCAAAACTAGCAAGTAGCCGTGGCAGAACTCAAACCTGGTGTGCTGTCTGCACATGTGCACTTTCTGGCCCATCCATCTAGGCCAGGTCCCCTCCTCTCTATGTAGTTCACACCCCCATCTCTCCCTCCTGCAGCTCCTTTCAGGTCATCTTTGTGCCCCACGATCCTCAATCACATCAGGACCAAGATGTAAAGAAAACCTGTGGTTAACACCAGGGCAGACCATCCATCTGTGCAACAGGATGAAAGGCAAACGTGCTCAGTAAGCAGTCTGTGTCATGCCATTTGGCCAAACACAGGAAGGTGTAAGTGGAAGAAGAATTTCCCAGCATCCACTCTGCAGATCAATGAACAGGTATGTCTCCTTTCTGGTTGGTGCTAAAGATCTCGAGTACCCAGGAGGTACCCCAAATTAAAAATTATTTTGATCCCACCCCCTTTTGAACTGCCACCTGGTCCTTGCCCTCACTGTCCTCCTCATGGGGCCAGATGTCCCTGGCGGATGCTGGAATAGTTTCTCAACCATTTTGAGCATCTACTATGAGCCCAGCTCTGAACTAGTGATGACACATGGCATCTGTAAATAACACGAAGCATCGTTCCCACTATACAGATGAGCAGTTACCCAAGTCACACACCTCACTGTGACCAGTGTAATATGTTTGAAGTATGAACTATTTGTACCCTGCATGTCTTTGTCTCTCCATGTTCAATAACACCACCTCCCACCTCTTTAAATTAAGCTGCCTGGCTATTCAGTTTGCTTGATACTGATTTACAAAAGCCATCACCTGTAAGCAAATTAAGCTGGAAGCCTCAAAACTCCTGAGGAAAGAAGTATTTCCGAGGTAAAGGCATCAAGAACTGAGGCACATACTAACGGTCATCATTTAGCCCTAGCCAGTTTGGCTCAGTGAATTAAAGCATTGGTCTGTGGACTAAAGGGTCAAGAGCACATGCCTGGGGTTGCAGGCTCGATCCTGTGTGAGGCATGCAGGAGGAAGCCAATAAATGATTCTGTCTCATCGTTGATGTTTCTATCTCCCTCTCCCTCCTTTCTGATATTAATAAAAATATTAATAAAATAATAAAATAAAGGTAATCAGTTAGCTACAGGTGTGTTTTGTTGGATTTAAAAGCTATTTTTCAATTAAGAATCCATTGATACTGTTTTTAAAATGAGGAAATTTTGCATGGAAGTCTTAATGTCTAGATTTCCTTGAAGATTCAGATGGTCAGGCCACATGGGACTCACATTCTTACACAGTGGCTACCAGCGCTCCCTTGAAAGAGGGCCTGTGTTTGCCCGGCTCCACAGACCTCACCACTCCCTACTGCCTGATACAACAGGCTCACCCTTGGGCATTCCCCGAGTGGTCTGTGAGTTTATACCAAAAGAGAGGAGAATTCGCCCTAAGACTAGAAACACATTTCTCCTAGGACCTAGGCTGACAGGAAAGGAGAACTGAGAGAGGTTTGGGAGTCTCTGGAGAGATGATTTGATCTGAAGGTGCCCCAAGGACAGAATTTAGCATGGATGTGCTGGTAAGTGTTTAACAACTGCTCTCCAGGGGGAAAGTGTGTGTGTATGCACGCGTGCATGCACGCGCATAAATTCTGCTGGGATGAAAAATGTGTTTGTTGTGCAAAATTTACAAATAATATAAACACTTTCTTGAAAATACTCTTTGTTATAAATTCCATATTGCCAATTAATTCTCAAGGAATGATTTTTATGTTTTGTCAAACTCTTGTATGCATAAACAACTATTACTGCAATTGAGCCACGGCTGGACAAAATTAGAGGACAAATAATCACCCGATGGCAATCTGACTCAGCAAAAAGACTGCTCACAAGTAGTGTTCCAACACTCATGCTGGTTGCAGTTTCTGTTTACCTTGATGAGTCAGAGGAAAGTAAAACTATGAAGGGGTTCATCAGAACTTCTTTATCCATGGCATGAGCAACTTGCTTGTTGAGCTGAATAAACAGCTCACATCATAAAACAACATTTCCTCCATTTTTTGTGCCACTCACAGTGTACTGGCCACAGACACAATGGACATAAGTGTCTTATTTGCACTGGTATTAACATTCTACCCGTCGCAGTCTTAAGACTGGAAAACCAACAAAACATCTGTAATGTTCTCCCCTCTCTGTGGTGCCAACACACTCCCCATGGCCAGTGCAGATGGAGGCAGAATCAGCAGGAAATGCCCCGGTTCCCTGAGTCCCTCGGAAGATGCAATAGATGTAAGTAACTTCCAGGGCACAGATAGTAGTAAAATATGGTAAAATGAGGAAGTGATGCGTTTTTTTGTGTTTATTTCCTTTGTTTTTAATACAATTTATTTGATTACGAGTTTAAGTAACTTAATTTCTTTTAATGGCTGTGTTTAACTGTGTTTCAAGCTTTCAAAAATCCTGAAAATTTAACAGTCAGCTATCAGAGCCAGTAGGAGCCAGCATCAGCACCCCTCTGGCCTGAAGGGAAGTACAGTCACCCTAACTTACAATGGTTCAACTTAAGATTTTTTTGACTTTATGATGATGTGAGAGCAATATGCATCCACACTTGGAATTTTGAATTTCCATTTCCCTGGACTGGTGACACGCGGTACGATACTTTCTTGTGACACTGGCCATCGGCAGCGGGCCTCAGCTCCCAGGTTGCCACTCCGTCGCGAGGGCACACAACCTTTACCCACAGTGTTTGGTTGGATGGCTGTGCCCAGCTGTAGGCTAATTTATGCAGGTGTTCTGAGCATGTTCAAGGTAGGCCATAAGCTTCGAGGTGTGGTAGGTGAGGTGTGCTAACTGCATTTTTGGCTTCAGGATGGGTTTAATGGGCTGTGACCCCATCACAAGTCGAGGAGCATCTGTGTGTAGAAAGGAGAGGAGAGAATGAAGAGCTAGAGCTTGAGGGAGTTGTTACTCACTCAAAGTCAACAGTTGCCAAGAGGTAGAGGCAAGACAGACAACCAGGTCTGTGGGCCTCCAAACCATCTCCTTTCGCATGGAAGGGCAGCAAGCACCAGCCTGGAGACAGCCCCAGTATAACTCCTTCTACGCTGGATGTTAAGACACTTAATTCTGGACTTCTGTCGACCTTTCTCCTAATGAAACTTACATCCTCCCAAGAGATGACTAACAACTTAAGAGCAGGCCCATGTTGAGTAGCTGTTGTATTATCAGCATTTAGAATTCCAGTTCATTGGTGTGCACACTGGGGTCCTAACCAGTTTGGCTCAGTGGATAGAGCGTCGGCCTGTGGACTCAAGTGTCCCAGGTTCGATTCTGATCAAGGGCACATACCTTGGTTGTGGACACATCTCCAGAAGGGGATGGGCACGAGGCAGCTGATCAATGTTTCTAACTCTCTATCCCTCTCCCTTCCTCTCTGTAAAAAAAAATCAATAAAATATACTTTAAAAAAAAGAACCACTTAGTCCAGGTCCTGACTGTACAATGGGGAGAAACTGAGGCCCATGGTCATACAGCAATGACAGCAGCAGATTCAGGACTAGAACTCAAAGCCTCTTGCCGACCAGCGTGGGTTGCTGGTGAATGGTAGATATTCCGGATAAGAGAATTAGAGGGGTGAGCAAAACTGATTTCCAAGAGTCAAAAGAGCAGGCTTCCCCCTCGCTGAGACAAAAGAGCAGAGACTATGGCATCCTCAGCTGGATTGAGGGGGAGAGCCTTCCTGCCAGAGATTCTCTGAGAAAGCCCAAGGCACAGTGGAAACTCCACAAGAAGTTCTCATTATCAGCACTGCAGAGTGTGCAGGGCCAGTGGGGAAACTGAGGCAAGAAGGCAGCTCCCCAGAAACCCTCAGAGCCTGAGACTGAGCATGAAGACTTTCGGGTTCTCAGACTCCCATCCCTTTCCCCCCCAGCACAGAAGACCTTCTCTGGAGCAGGGCTCAGTCTCAAAGGACCACCTAGAACTTGTGCTCCAGAGCCCAGGCAGGCAGGAAGCTGGACCTCGGCTGCTAAAACCACGGGCCCAGCATTTCCCAAGCAGCGGGCTCCTCAGGACGCTGCAGAGGCCTTGATGCGGCTGTACTGTACGCCAGACGTGCTCTGCCTGTGGCCAAAGCTCGGGGGGAACCTGCCAAGCAGAGAGTGATCAGAATCAGGGGGGAAGGGTCTGGGAGAAGATAGGAGTGGAACACCCCCTGGGATCCCTTATCGCCACCCCCAATCTTACCTGTTCCTTCCTACTTCCGGCCTCAATATCCATTTCCATCTTCTGCATTACCCAGCTCCTCCTCTTGGTCTCCCTGTGTCTCTCCTCACTGCCACGTGCCCCTGAGTCCCCAGCTCCAGCCGGACCCTATCCTTGTATTCTAACCTCCTGTCATACCCCAATTTCAGGATATAGACATTCCTGTCAGCTGAGCTTAAAGCCAAATGAAACTCTGTGGCAGGAAGACTCCAAGCCACTCAAGGAGACCAGCTCCCATAGGAAGTCAGACAAAATGCACAGCATCTAGTAAGAGAGGCTGGAAGAAAAGAAAAGCGCTCTCTTGCAAAGGGAGGGTCTGACAGCTCAGGTCCTGCATGAAGCGCTCGGGCTGGACGGGACTCTACCCCAAGGGCTGCCCTGTCCCCCTTACCGTCTCCGCTGGAACTGCTGGTCTATCTCTGCCAACGACTGGCCTTTTGTTTCAGGAACAAATACATAGATGAAGCCCAGGCCAAGGACAGCGGTCAGCCCGTACAGCAGGAAGGTCCAGGACAAGCCAATGGAGCCTGGGAACAGGGAGTGGGAGTGTGGGCCTGGGCGCAGCCAACTGGCTGGTTCCGGGTCACGCACTGAGAGTCAGCTCACCTAAGGAACATTCTCCAGAATGACCAACAACTGTCAGAAAAATACCTTAAGGCGGGAGTAGGACTGATGGTCCCAGAGGCCGGCAGAGGCAGGGCTCAGCTCCACAAATGCCGCCCAGGCATCTTGTCTCTCTGGGACGGCCCACTCACTCACATCTAAACCACGAACAATGGGTGGAGTGTGCCCGGAATCAGAAAATGTGAACGGAGGGAGACTACTACCCACCTTAGCACAGAAACAGCTGCAGGAGGCAGCGGTGGCAAAGCCCAGCCCTGAGAAAGAATCCTTAGACACTGGACCGAGGACTGAGGTGAGCGCACTCACCGATGAGGTCGAGGAAGGAGAGGCTGATGAAGAGGTTGGCGGCCCAGTTGAAGCTGCTGCAGAAGGCGAAGGCCCTCCCTCGGATCTCCGCGGGGTAGATCTCGCTGAGGACCAGCCAGGTCACTAGGACAGGAGAGCAGGGAGGGCTCCTAAGCAGTGGCCAGACTGGGTGGGCATGCAGGGTCCTTCCCTCTGTGTGATTCAAACCGGGTAGGCTACTGAGAAAGATTCTCCCCGGCTGCTTCCCCCACAGGCTGTAAGTCCCCAGAATCCCTATCGCGTGACCAACAGGACCAAGGGTGTGGATGCCTGGGACATGGGACTTTCAGTGTCCTGGGCAATCCGGGATAGTTGATCACCCTATTCATTAAATTCCCTTCAAAAGTTATTCAGGAGCAAATTCAGGTTTTAGGTTTAATGATTTGGAGGCCTTTTATTTTATTTTTATTTAAAGAAAAATATATTTTATTGGTTTTTTTACAGAGAGGAAGAGAGAGGGATAGAGAGTTAGAAACATCGATGAGAGAGAATCATCGATCAGCTGCCTCCTCCACACCCCCCTCTGAAGATGTGCCCGCAACCAAGGCACATGCCCTTGACCGAAATCAAACCCCAGGACCCTTCAGTCCGCAGGCCAAACCGCTTGGGGGCTTTTTAAAAGTAAACAATATTACAAACATGCAGTCAGGCCCTGAAGCTAAAGCTGCACTGGCTTCAGGGTCAAGCGCCCTCTAGTGTCCCTCCGAGACCCTGGAGGGCACCGCCCCCAAGCTTCCCATTAGGAAGGGTAGAAGGTTCAGAGTCACCTGCAAAGGACCTCGCACCTACCTGGTCCAAATCCGAAGGAGAAGGCGCTCACAAACACCATCATGCAGACCAGCGCGGTCCAGTGCAGCAGGGCACGCTCCGGGGCAGGGGACGGGGCTGCCGGGGAGCCGGTGCGCAGGACTGGCACAGGAGGGGCTGTGGGATTCCCAGCTCTGGAAGGACGCTTGGTTTTCTCAGGAGTTGGCGAGACTGGCTCCTCTTGATTCTCGCTGGTGGTTGACAGTGGATGTGAAGAGAAGCCCGTTGGCAGGCCAGAGTCTCCAGGGAGGTTTAATGGCCTGGTGGCATTGGACACGGCCAGGCAGCTGGGGCCCGAGTCCATGGGCACAGCGAAGCTGACCAGGCCTATGCCACTGACGGACAGGGCCATGAGGGCACAGCCAGCTAGCAATAGGGCCCTGCGGCCTGCTCGGTCCACCAGCCCCATGGCAGTCAGAGTAGCTGCCACCTTTACGGCGCCAAGCCCCACGGAGGCCAGCACGGCTGAGGATTCCCCACGGAAGCCAACAGAGTGGAAGATGGTGGAGGCATAGGACAGCACGTTGGGCTGCCCTGTTAGCTGCTGGAAAAGCACCAGCCCCAGCCCCACGGTGGTCCGGCCTCGCATATTGTCCCGCTCCCGGAAGAGGTCCAAAAAGGAGTATCGTGGCCTCCCCAGGCCCTGCTCAGTGGCCTCCCCTCCTTGGAGGGGGATGAGATCCCTGTGGGCGGCGGCATCACCTGTACCCGCAGGGAGGATGAGGAGGCTGAGGGACTGCAGGAGAGCGGGCGCAGCAGCCCAGCCGAACATGTGCCTCCAGCCCCGGGGCACGGCGGCCAGCGCGTAGTTGAGTGCGTAGGAGAGCAGGATGCCTACAGTGATGCCTGCCTCGTAGAGGGACACCATCACCCCCCGCTGCCGCGGCCCCACCAGCTCGGACACGTAGATGCAGCAGGCCATGGCTGAGAGGGAGATGGCAAAGCCAGCAGCCAAACGGCCCAGGACCAGCCAGGCCAGGGAGCCAGCCAGGCCCAGGCTCAGGCTGCCTGCCAACAGCACCACGTTGCTCCCCAGGATGGCTTGTTTCCTGCCATAGCGGTCAATGAGGAAGCCCCCCACCAGAGAGGCGAGGAGCGCCCCCAGGAGCAGGCTGCCCACCAGGACCTCCTGCTCCAAGCAGCTGAGCCCAAAGTCAAGCTGCAGTGGCAGCAGGGCCCCCGATATGACTGCCAGTTCATAACCAAAGGTCAAGCCGCCCAGCAAAGACACAGAGGCACACAGGGGCAGGAGGGGTGGTGGGCGGCCTGGAAAACAAAAGTGACAGGGGCCAGGTTCAGAAAGGTTCCTTGTTAGAGCCTCCATCCATTCAACCACTCCTCTGTTTGACAGTTGCATCCATCCATCCATCCATCCATTTATTCATCTATCATCCATTGATTCATCCACTCATTATTCACCATCCACTTCCTCCTTCACCCATCTCTCCCTCCATCCCTCCAACCATTCATCTACTTCCTCCATTCACCCAGCCATCCATCTACCCATGCATCTATCCACTCCTTCTTTCATCCACTCACTCCTTCATCAACTACTCTACCATTCACCTATCTATCTATTTATTGAACCATCTATCCACTCATCCACTCCTCCTTTCATCCATTTTGCACATCTATTTATTGATCAATCAACCCATCCCTTCATTATACTCTCTTCAATTTATCCATCTATAATAATTTATCCACCACATATTCATCTATTAATTTGTCCATTCGCATACCCCTTAATTCACCCAAACATCCATCTATTAATCCATCTATTCACAAGAATATCCATTCATCCAGCCATATGTGTATTCCATCCCTTATGTATCCACCCATCCATTCAACCACTCCTTCAAAACATATTTATCTGGCACTTACAACACCAAGCTGTATTATTAGGGCTGGCAATAGTAGAAAAAGGCAGATGAGGAACAAATAAATCTGTGCTATAACTTCAGGTGGCGATAGGTATCATTTAAAGAAGTAGAGAAAAGAGACTGAGAGTGATGGCGGACTTCTTTAATTAGGATAGTCAGCTAAGGCCCCTCTGTAGAGGGAAAATCTGAACAGAGATCTGAATGAAGTGAGAGTAAAAGTCATATAAAACCTGGGTGAATGACATTTTAGACAGAGGGAACAGCAAGAACCAAGGCCCTGGGGCACGACAATTTTTGGTATGTTTGAACAATACTATTAATATTAATAGCTAATGCTTATTTGGCACTTACCCTGTTTTAGCACCAGACCCTGTTTTAGGAGCTTTCTATGTATTTCCTCCCTTCACTTCTCATTTACAACAACCCTATAACATATTATTATTAGCATCCTCCTCCAAGGCACAGAGAAGTTAAGAAACTCTCTCAGAGTCACACCGCAAGTAAGTGGCAGAGCTGATGTAGCTAGAGTGCAGGCTTTTAATCACTGTGCTATTCAGCAAGGAGACCAGCGTGGCTGGAGCCCAGCAAGTGAGTGAGAGGAGGTGATGAGGTAGGAGAAGCAGGCAGGGTAGATCATATATGTGGAGCTCTGCAGGTTATAAGGACAATGATGAATTTCACTGTCAGTGGGTGGAAGCCTTTGAAGGCTTGTGCCGGGGAGAGAGTTGATCTATGGCCGTGGTCAGCAAACTGTGGCTAGTGAGCCACATGCAGCTCTTTGGCCCCTTGAGTGTGGCTCTTCCACAAAATACCACGGCCTGGGTGAGTCTATTTTGAAGAAATGGTGTTAGAAGAAGTTTAAGTTTAAAAAATTTGGCTTTCAAAAGAAATTTCAATTGTTGTACTGTTGACATTTGGCTCTGTTGACTAGAGAGTTTGCCGACCACTGGTCTATGGTAGTCACAGCATACGTGGATCTTGAGCACTTAAAAGTGTGACTAATGGTATTAAGAAACTGAATTTTCATTTTATTTAATTTTTATCCATTTACATGTAAAAATAGCCACATATAGCTAAAGGCTACCAAATGGGCAGTTCACTTACACAGTTTACTCTGAAATTTTAATCCACATATTTAAACTTAAATGTTTCTGGAAGCATCTAGAGTAGTCTAGCAGTATTTCACACCATGCTAAGTCCTAACTCCTTCACATAATATCCCAGGCCCTTCGTGAGCTGGCCCCAGCCAAACCACCCAGACCTGACAACATTCATAACATTGTAACCAGATTTATTGAGTGTTTTCTCTGGACCAAGTGAGTTACTGCACGTAAAGCACTGCTTTGAGCGCGTACGTACAGAAATTCATTTGATTCTCACCACAACTTTAGATGGTGGGCTTTTGTATTATTTATGAATGAATAACTGATCATCAGAGAGGTGAAATGACTTGCCTACGGTCAAAAGCAGTTAGTAGCTGTGCCTAGATTCATAGCCAGGCTGGCTGGCACCATTCTCTTCACCACTCCATTAGAAAACCTTTGCATAATATGATTTCACTTCTTTCTTATTTCTACTTCTCCCCATCTCCGTTGGGCAATTTTTGTACAGATAGAGGAATTTCGTGGGTGGAAAAATCCCCCTCTTTCTGCTAACCCTTCTTCCATAACACACCCCCCTCCCCTCCACCCCAGGCAAATAACTCCTACCCTTCTCTCTCTGGCCTTGTTCTACCTGCTCATGACCTGCTCCTGACCAGTAAACACCCCGGGGAGATTATACTGCCCAGGTCCTGCCTCATCGTTACCTCTCTTTGCCCCACCTCCCTCAGTCCTTGGAATTTGCTGCCAGAAAGGAAGGTCTCCCAGGCCATGTGAGGCAATCAAGGGAAAACACGGAATCTGTTTGCTGTGTCTTAGGTTCCTCCTGAGGTGACAGGGAACTCAGCCAAAGGGCTAACAGGCAAAGCTCACTGTCTACAGGTTTTGCTGGAAAACGCATCCGAACAGATTCTGGCCACAGTGGCAAGAGAACAAGGAAGAATGACCGTGAAATGAAATAGTCATAATAACCAGTGTCATTTATTGAGCATCTCCACTATGCAATCTCAGATGCTTCACTCAATTCATCTTCAGAACAACTTTAAGCGGTATTGCTACAGTTATCCCCATTTTACAAATGAAGAAACTGAGGGTCAGAGTGTTCTCACAGCTGAGAAGCAACAAGATCGGGACTCAAATGCTGACCCATCTGAATCCCAAACCTACATATTTAAGAGCTTTGCTGAACTGACTTCAAGCAAGAAGGGCCAATCAGAGAGAGACGGGGTGTGAGAGAGAGCAGGGGGAGACGGGGCAGAGGTGGAAAGGAAGTAACCAGAGGCTCCTGCGAAAGCCTAAGTTGGACCGTGTCCTTCTGCTCAGAGCCCTCCCAGGCTCCCTCTTCTCTCCAGCCGCAGTCCTTCCAGTGACCTTCAAGGCCCAGCAAGATCTGCCTCCTCTCACCCTGGCCACACTGGCCTCCCCCTAGCATCCAGCACTTCGCATCCTCTTTCCCTGCTTGTGTTTCCCCAGGGTACTTTATCTCCATTGGAAATAACTATGTTTTACATATTTATTGGTCTCCCGTACCAGAATGTCAGCCCCAAAGGAAGAGGAATTGCTAGCTTAGCGGTCTCTCTGATGCTGAGGACAGTTTGTGGCATATAGTTGGCCCTCAATAAATACTTGTTGAATAAGTGGATAATTGATTGAATGAATGAAGGAATGAATGAACGAATGAACTCTGGTGGTAGGAAATCCAGAGAGAAAGGATCTTGGCTCTTGAACATCTGGCGAGATCCAGGGCCCAGAAGTGGCCATGGACAGAACAGACCAAATCCTGGCCGCCAAATTAGGACGCTGGAGCCAGAGCTGGAGTTGGTCTCCCTTACCCTGTGCCTCAGAGGCTGGGTGGTACAGTGGTTAAGAATGCAGGCTGGAACCAGAGTGGGGGTTCTATCCCAGCGTCTCCTCTTCACTGGTGTACAACCTTGTGCAGCTCACGTAACCTCTCTGAGCCTCCTCGCCTACAAATGAGGATAAGAGTCATACCCACCTCATACGCCTACCTACCTGGCAGCCAGTGTTCGCTGTTTTGAGTCTCCACAGAACAACCCAGAGCGAGTTTTTAAAACACAACTCAGGTCATGTCCCCCCCAAGTTTAAAATCCTTCTCCAGCTTCTCATGTTATTTGGAATAGAATCCAAACTTCTCACTATGGTTACAAAGTCCCACATAATCCAGCCCTGGCCTACCTCTCTGACCTCCCTTTCCCTGTTCTCCCCTTGCCTAATGTGTTCCCGCCACAAGGACTGGACTCCTCCAGCTCACTCCTGCCCCAGGGCCTTTGCACTGACTTTCCTCCACCTCGCAGCTCTTCTATGGGATCTTAGCAAGCTCAGTTCTTTTGAGTGATAGCTCTTACAGCTCTAATGCCTCCTGCTCCAGGAGGCCCTCCTGCCTGCTTACCCCAAAACCTGCCCCCCTCATCACTATCACACCACCTCATTATATGTGCTCCCCTGAGCCCCCAACCTGTAAACCTACGTCTGCCACACAGAAGATGAATGGAGGGCAGAGTGTCCCGTTGAGGCTTCCGAATCCTGAGGAAAAAATATGAAAACCTTGGTCCCCCATAGCAACAAAGAAATTCCTGACTCCCACACACCGTCCTGCATTCTCATCTCCTCTGTCTCCGCTCTGTTGAACCATCTACAGAGCAGAGGTTATGTCTGCAGGCTCAGGGCAGCACCCTCGAGCCTGGCAAACAGAGGTGTTCGGTTTAGTAGTTCATGAATTTGCTCCTTGCAGAGCCTCTCTTTGTTTTTTCAGAACAGAACAGAACAACTTCGCTTGCCTGGGACTGTAAGGCTCGAGGCGGCCGAGAGAGAGGGCCTGGCCCCAGTGAGCGCTCAGCTTTAGGGAAGCAGCACTCGCAAGTCACTTTTTCCTGGGCAGAAAGGAGCATGGAAGGAAGTGTGCCCAGGTCCCTTCCCTGCCCCAGCCCGGGCCTGAGTGCGGGGCTCGCCTCCGCGTGGGCGGTGCCCGGTAGGGGTGTGCCGCCCGGGCGGGGGGCGCCCGATCAGAGGAGGTCGCGGGGACTCTGCAGTGGGCAGCGCCCGATCGGACTTACCCATGGCGAGCGGGACACCGGGGCCAGCTGCGCGCAGGGAGCGTCCGGGCGCGCATCCCTGGGCCGGAGTCCAGGCCAGGCCTACAAACTTTCAGGCCGGCCCGCCTCCGTCCCTCCCCCTCGGCCTGCCCGCCCCCAACGCCGAGGCTGCCACGTAGGCCAGCCCAGGCCCCCTGTGTCTGGAGGCGGGACAGAGGGACTAACCCTCACCCTGCGCCTGGCTGGAGGCCACTCCTCTCAGCTCTCCAGGGAGGGATGCCTCTCCCCATCCTCCCCAGGATGCTCCCCACTGTCTGTCATCCCTGTTGGGGCCCCCTCATGCATTTCCCTCCCCCTCCAACCCGGTAGGAAGAAGATGTCAAAATCACTGCGGTCCACACTAGTCTGGCCACCAGCATCTACACGCACACACACGTGCGCACGCATGCACACACACATACATGCCTCTACTCTACACTGATGGGGTCACACACATACCCACTTCAGCCACTCAGACACTCTCCTGTGGACTCATCCTCCCACCATTGGACACAGGTTTGAACCCCTCCCAAGTACCTCAGGGCTGGGTTGGGAGAATAAGGCAGACACATTTGTTTGCTCTTGTGCAATTTGCTTTCCAGTGGGGGAGGACAAAAGTTAAATAACAAGCCAGAGAAATGCCAGCTAGCGATCACTGCAGGGTAGAGGATGAAACTAGGGTGACGGGGTAGGCTGCTTTAGCTCGGGGTCTGGGAAGGCTGTTCTGAAGAGGGGATATTTGAGCTGAGACCTCAGGTCCCAGGCAGGGCAGAAGGAGTTGTGGAGTATAAGGAGCAACAGAAATGAAGCCAGAGTGTCGGGAGCATAGCATGTGCTATGAAGAGTGGAGGGAGATGGGGCCCAAGAGTGGGGCTGCCAGGGGCCAGATCATTCAAGGCCTAGGTGGGAAATGTCTATTTTATTCCAAGAGACACAAAATAATAATTGAGGCATTCTAGTAGGTTATAGGGAGTGAGAGTGGAAACAGGGAAACTTTTGCAGGTGAGAGGTGGAGTTGATTTGGATTAGGTGATAGGAGTAGGGAGGGAGGAAAGTGGGCAGGTCAGAGGGAGACTTGATAAGGACCTACTGATTGGAAAAGGTGCAGGTTGGGGCAGGAGAGAACATCTAGAGTTCTGTTTTGGCTGTGTGACGGTTAGGCGCTCACTCAGCATCCCCGTGTGAACAGGTGGGGTGTTGGATGTAAGAGTTTGGAATTCTGGAAAGAAGCCAGGCTGGGGATACCCCCACTAATTCTCACTCTCAGGCAAAAACATATATATATGGTCACAGGCTTTTCTCATCCTATGTTCATACACAAAGACATTAGTTGACATGTGTCACATACCCTCACCCAGCATGGACTGTATGCCACAGACATAACTGGGCACCTGGAAAAGAAGACCATTTGACAAGACCTTCTGAGCCAGCGGGCCCTGTACACTTCTGGAAATAATAATAGCCGGGCAGTTTGAAAACATGGCTCCAAAATTCTTTGTTTCCTTCCTTGAGATCAAAGTGGGCTTGTGACTGCTTCAACCAGTGCACAGAGTAGCAGTGTGTGACTTCTGAGGAGAGCCAGTAGGACACCGGCGCCTGGAGCCCCTCACCTCTAGGAAGTCCCATTACCCTGAGGCCGCCATGCTGTGTGTGAGGAAGTCCAAGGTGCAGAGAGAGGCCATGAGGCCCTGCTTTAATGGGTGGTCCAAGCCTTTGAGTCATCCCAGCACCGGCTCTAGATTGAGCCTTCAGATGATTCCAGTTCTTAGTATCAAATCTTTCCAACTGAGGCCCAGGATCATGTACAGCTGAGACAAGCCACCTCTACTGTTCCCAGGCTTGATTTATGACCCACACATTCCATGAGTATCTATAATAATAAAAGCATAATATGCTAATTAGATCAGACAGTTGAATGACCTTCTGGATGTCATTCTGAATGTCCTTCTGGATAAAGCCACTGTGGCAGGAACCAAGGTAGAGGCAGTTAGGGACCATCAGGCAGGCAGGCAGGTGAGCAGTTAGGAGCTATCAGGAAAGCAGACTAGTGGTTAGGGGCGATCATGCAGGCAGGCAAGCGGTTAGGAACCAGCAATCCTGGATTGCAAGAAGGATGTCTGACTGCCAGTTTAGGCCCAATCTCACAGGGATCCCTGTGGGATAGGGCCCAAATTGGCAGTCGGACATCCCCTGAGGGATCCTGGATTGCGAGAAGGTGCAGGTTGGACTGAGGCACTCCCTCTTACTTCTCCCCACTTCATAAACAAATTTTGGGCACTGGGCTTTGTTTTGGAGTAAATTGTTATGCAGCAATAGTAACCAGGACAATAGCTTTAACTATGGGGCAATGATTATATACTTTGATTTCAGCACTTTACCTATATTAGCTCACTGTTAACCCTTACAACTACCTAATGAGAAAGGAGTTATTACAATGACCCCCATGTTATGAAAGATGTGACTGAGGCAAAGGGATGTGAAGTAACCTGCTTGCATAATAAACAAATAAATAAGATAAATAGAGCTCAAAGACATACACTACATATAGCTGAGCTGGGAGTCAAGCCCAGTCATGGGGAAATCAGTACTTACCCATCATGCTCTGCTACCTTTCTGGCACGAAAAGATCCCAAGGAGGCCTCTTGGCCATTGCCAAGTGACAGCGCCTCCTTCGTCTGTGAGTGTCTGGAATTGTCACCGGGGGACCTTGTACAGCAAGCGCTCCATTCCTGTCAGATGCCCTATGGAAGTTACCCGGTGGAAAGGAGCAAGACGTTCTCTGTGATCTCTGTGACTGGCACTAAGTCATGAGTATGTTTGCACACTTGGTCTCATGTTCTCTCTCTCCTAGAGAATCTCTCTTTATTTGTTTTCCCAGATGAGAAAGGGAAAGTCCTAATCAAGCATTTCGGTAGCATCTTCACAAATGACTTCCCTTGAGGCTGCACAGGACATAGTGATTCATTTCTAACTAATAGAATACAGCAAAAGTGGTTATGTCATCTCAGAGGTTAAGTTAAAAAGACAGTGACTTCATCTTGCTCATCCTTTCCTGAGCTCTCACTCATTTACTCTGATGAAGCCACCTGCTATGTAGTGAGAGGCCCACGTGGCAAGAGGTGAGGGGGACCTGAAGGCAATAGGCAACAAGGAACGAAGGCCCCTGGAAATATAAACCCCACCACTAATACGAACAGATAAGTCCATCTGTGACAATGCAAACGAGAAGAGGTTCATGGGGGCACCAGAACTTAGAAAAGTTGGATTTTTCCCTCTTCTGAGAAGTGAGGAGGGCTTCCGTGGGGGACTGACATTTGAGCTAGGAATGAAAGGATATGCAGATGGGTCTAGGCAACAAAGGGAGGGAAGGGCAGTGAGAAGTTGCAGGTGCAAAGGCTCGGTGGCAAGACGGCGCCTGAAAAGAATGAAAGGCTGAGAGAAGGCAATTGTGTTTGAAGATGGAGGGCAAAGGGGAATTTGGTGGGGGCTAAGTCTGGGAGATGGATGTTGTGTTCCCATGCTTGTGGGTCTTTATCCCAAGCACAGTGGGGGGGCCATTGGAAGGCTTTAAGCTAGGTTTCTTGCCATAGAAGCCAGAACCAGTCTGACCATAGCAAGCCCGGGATGTAAATATGTTTGCACAGTGGGTTTTTCAAAGGCAGGACTCAGACCGATATAGAAATAGAAGGCTTATGTGGACACTAACAATTATGATAATGAAACCACACACTTGGGAAACTGGGCGTTATTAATCGAGTTAGTTCTGGGTGAGCCCTGAGTAGGGGTGCTGGAAACCACAGTATACCATCACAAAGGGTCTGATGTTTGAAAAGGTGACCTGCCCTTTGATGAAAGAAATTGTGGAGTTGAGAGCAAGCGTCACAGCAACCCTAGGACCAAAGGGCCTTTCTCCAGTGTTTCAGAGTCCCAAAAGGAAGATGGATGAACATATGAAGAGTGTATGCCAACCACCAGGCACCAGCACAGGCAACATCTTATTTAATTTTAATAAGCAATTGCCAAAGTAAAATTGATTGTCTTTGTACTGAAGGTGATGAAGCTGAAACTCAGAGAAATGTTTTGCTGCATTGCACATTGTATCAGGAACCTGTGGTTGCCTTCTAGGCCAGTAGTCGGCAAATTGCGGCTCAAGAGCCACATGTGGCTCTTTGGACCCTTGAGTTTTTAGCAAAGGCCAGCTTAGCAGTACCCTAATTAAGTTAGTAACAATGTACCTACCTATGTAGTTTAGTTCAAAAAAGTTGGCTCTCAAAAAAAGAAATTTCAATTGTTGTACTGTTGATATTTGGCTTTAATGAGTTTGCCAACCACTGTTCTATGCTGTAAACGCCCAGCTCCGGAAAAGACCTGAGAGTCAGGCCGAAGTTTTCCGGAAAGAGCCGAAGATAGGGGGGCGGGGCCACCGGAGTCTTTTCGGGGCTTCGGCGGCGCCGAAAGGTCGGGAGGCGGAACCACTCGCACGCGGGGCGGGAGTGTCGGCGTTTGATTGGCCCAAGGGAGCCGAGGCTCTGCGGAACGAGCCGAACGTCTCCGACAGCTTCCGGGCAGAGCCGAGGGGCGCCGAGGCGCAGCCATGGCGGCGGCGGGAGCCGTCGCGGAGGCGAAGAATGGGGACCCGGCGCCGGAGGCCGAGGCGCTGGCCGCCGAGTCGCTGGCCGCGGCCCGGGAGCGGTGCAGCCGCTTCCTGAGCGGCCTGGAGCTGGTGAAGCAGGGCGCCGAGGCGCGCGTGTTCCGTGGCCGCTTCCAGGGCCGCGCGGCCGTGGCGAAGCACCGCTTCCCTAAGGGCTACCGGCACCCGGCGCTGGAGGCGCGGCTCGGCCGGCGGCGGACGGTGCAGGAGGCCCGGGCGCTGCTCCGCTGCCGCCGCGCAGGTGAGACGGCCCGGCTCGGGGCGAGGAGGGGCCGAGGCTCCGGGGCTTGGGCGGTGCGGTGCGGCACGGGACTCCCTTGCGCCCCCTGCAACCCGCGTGGCCTTGAGGACTCACTCCTCCGTCCCCGCCTCTTCCATCACTCGTTCACGCTTAGGCAGCCCCTGGGCCTCAGGGGGAGCCAGGGCCCTGGGCCTGGTCAGTTCAGGCTCTGCCCTGTCGCTCCGGTACAGGCGTCATTTAACCGCGCTCGGTCTCCGTTGCCCCTTTGGTGCCGTTTCGGTGTTTGATCCTGATCGATGCATTGCTCTTAAGAAGCAGATGCGAGGATAAGTACCTGCCCTGGAGCCAACTCTCTGGGTTTAAGTACCGACACCACTGTAGCCTTGGAACCCGTTTCTTCACCTCTCAGCCTGTTTCCTCTCCTGTGAAATTCCAGTTGCAGTATTAATCTCATAGGGCTCTTGGGACCATTCGGTGAGGCATGTATGCCATGTATTATGTATTACATTTGAATGCATGACTGGCATGTAGTGCTAATGAAGGTAGATTTCATTAAGTCACTCCCCCCCCCCCGCCCCCCCCAATAAAACACCATTGTGCACCATCACGGTAAACTTGCTCTTGGGTGAGAAACTGAGTCTCAGAGAGGGGAAGTAACTTGCCCAAAGCTACTCAGCTCCTTAGAGGCCCAGCCAGGCTGCTCAGCTCGTATTCCTCTGCCTCGGGAAAACTGGCTTTTCACGCTCACACTTCCTGCCTTTCTTCCTTACATTGGTGTTTTTTAGGCATCTGTGTCCCCGGAACTGTCAGGTGCTGGGAGATCTGGAGGAAATGCAGTAGTGAACAGGCTGGCGGATCTCTGCCCTGCTTGGGTTTAATGAAGTGATTTCTGCGTTTGTATTTTCTTTTGCGCCCTCTCTAGGGTATAAGGTGCTTTAAGCAGGGATCATGGCTGCCCTGTGTCCTGCTGCATCTCCCTTACACCCCAAGTGTTCCCGGTATCCTGAGCATGATTGACATTTAGTGAAGATTCATAGATCTTCTGAAGTCTTGTTCTCATGTTATAGATGCAGTAAGGGAGGTGTAGAGAAGTTGATGTGACGTTAAGGTTATACAAGTGGCAACCAAGCGTAAATGCATGAGGAGACCTTGTTAATATTGAAAATGACAAAAGTTTTATTCAAGGGTCTTAGAATTTGCAAATTGGAACCATTAAGAGGTAACACCCAGAGCGTTCAAAAAAAAAAAAAAAAAAAAAAAAGTTGGGAGTTCTTGAGAAGACTCAGACTCAGCCCTGTATTCCTAGCTTCTGGATTGGCCTAAAATGTTAATCCTCTAGATTAGTGATGGTCTGCATAATGGATATCAGTTCTTCAGGGGGTTATCTGTAGTATTTATATATCCTCTAGGCATTGACACAACTGAAGAGTTCAAAAACTCAAGTTCTCAAGGCTAGTTAAAGGGAAATAAAATCTTTTCCTTAGGCTGAAACTGGTTTGGCTCAATGGATAGAGCGTCGGCTTGGGGACTGAAGGGTCCCTGGTTCGATTCCGGTCAAGGGCATGTACCTTGGTTGCAGGCACATCCCCAGTGGGGGGGGGGTGCAAGAGGCAGCTGATCGATGACTCTATCTCATCCATGTTTCTATCTCTCTCCCTTCCTCTTTGTACAAAATCAATAAAATATATTTAAAAAAAATATTTTCCTTGGGCTTCCTCCCATTTGAACCAATATGGTCTGCCTGACTGTACAGACTCCCTTTTTATTTTTTAAATATATTTTATTGATTTTGTACTGAGAGGAAGGGAGAGAGAGAGAGAGTCAGAAACATCGATGAGAGAGTCATAGATCAGTTGCCTCTTGCACACCCCCCACTGGGGATATGCCCGCAACCAAGGTACATGCCCTTGACCGGAATTGAACCTGGGACCCTTCAGTCCCCAAGCCGACGCTCTATCCATTGAGCCAAACCGGTCCAGACTCCCTTTTAAGTCAGCTTAGCTGTGCTGATTTCATCTTTTCTTCACCCCTTGCTCCCAGCTAACAAGGAAGGGAGCTGGGATTTCGATTCGTCCTTCTGACTTGGAAGATGAATCTGGAAGCCAGTACACTGCTTGGCCTCCTGTTTGGGTCCTTGTCAGACAGATAGTGCTTTACCTGGGCTACCCTTACCCTTCTGGCTTTTTTAGTCTGTCTTTTTTTAGGAAATAAGTATGAACTTAGCCATGGTGTAGTTCAGGGAGCAGTTATAAAGCGCATGAGCGGGGGAAACTTTGAGATGAATTATGAGGTACCATTCTGCACTGTTTCTAAATCTTTTTCCTGAAATAAGCAGATAGAAAATGTAAAAAACTGGGTCAATCTTTAAAAGTTAAGCTTACCATTAAAAAAAAAAAAAGTCTAATTCAAACTGGTTATGTCTTGATTGCAGGGATCTCTGCCCCAGTTGTCTTCTTTGTGGATTATGCTTCTAACTGCTTATTCATGGAAGAAATCGAGGGCTCGGTAACCGTTCGAGATTTTATTCAGTCCGCCATCGAGAGCGGAGAACCTCCCGAAAGCCTCCTCGGCTTAGCCAAGACCGTGGGGCAGGTTTTGGCTCGAATGCACGACGAGGACCTCATTCATGGCGATCTCACCACCTCGAACATGCTCCTGAAGCCCCCCCCGGAACAGCTGGACATTGTGCTCATCGACTTCGGGCTGAGCTTCATCTCTGCGCTTCCGGAAGACAAGGGGGTTGACCTGTACGTGCTGGAGAAAGCCTTCCTCAGTACCCATCCCAACACCGAGAGTGTGTTTGAAGCCTTTCTGAAGAGCTACTCCGCCTCCTCCAAAAAGGCCAAGCCAGTGCTCAAAAAATTGGATGAAGTGCGCCTGAGAGGAAGAAAGAGGTCTATGGTCGGGTAGAAGAGTGTCTGTGACAACCACAGACAGTTACACTATTTACCTCACAGAAAATTTGAAGAAATGCTAAGAGGATGGGTTACACCTAAAAAAAAAAAAAAAAGCTTTGGGATATTTTTAAGTGCTTTGTTTAAGTCTGTGTTCTTGCTTGTTAAGTGTCATTATCCCCTGCACTGACCTGTTCTCAGGAGCTCACCATGTACATAAGCCATGTTCTAGACCAGGGGTGGGGAACCTCTGGCCTGCGGGCAGTGTGAGGCCCGCAAAATCATTTGATCTGGCCCTGCCAATGTTTGTCCAAATATAGCGGGCTAATTTTTAAGTTGATACTGTTGTATGACCTGCAAATGATGTTATAAATACTCAAATGGCCCTTGGCAGAAAAAAAGGTTCCCCACCCCTGTTCTAGACAGAACCGAGTACAAATAAACCTAGGACAGGCTTACTCCTCAGGACCATGGGCAGGCAGTAAAAAACATGGAACCACATCATGAGAGGAGTATCCCCTGTTCGTTCCCGGGGAGACGAGAACAAAGTCTCAGTGACAGTGCCTCTGCACCAGCCTTTTAAGCCAGTGTTGTTTTTTGTGGTGTTCCTGGCATTCCTCTGGGAATCCATGTAGTGGGATACCAGCAGCATTTTAAAAATAAAGTACAACCAGACACTAGGAAATAGCATTACATGTGCATTACATGTAGTTTTTTAAATACTGTTTTATAAGTCTTATTTATATATATATATATGTGTGTGTGTGTATATATATATATATATATATATATATATATATATATATATGTGTGTGTGTGTGTGTGTATGTAGATGAGTACTGGGTTTTGATATAAAATATGTTTTTTGAGGGTTACGGTAAAAAAGATGAAAAATACTGCTTAACTCCAATTTCTCTTTAAAAAGCTTTTATACAACATTGTTTTTATATTTGTTGCTCTGTGATTTTGTGGTTATCTTCTAGTTAAAACAGTGATTGCTATAAAGTTCTTTTTAGTTTACATAGTTAAAAAAGTGGATCAGTTTGTCTCACAGACAATGAGTAGAGTAAACATGGTGACGTGGCTTGGATGTGACTGAAGTTTGGTAAAGCCTGGTCTACAGGAAGGTAGCAGACACCTGAAATAAGATGCAAAGTGCGACTAACAGCTCACACTTCACCTTGCCCAGCCTCAGTTTCTTGCCCCACTGAAGGTGTGTGTGGAAGGTACAGGAAGAGATCTTTTTTCCTTGTCAGCTCCACCTAACAAGTGAATATTCTGTGTGCCTGGCACTGTAGTAGGTAGTGGGTACAACGACGAGCAAGGTGGACACGGCACCTGCTCTCTTAGAGGGAACACTCGAGACGTGTCTTTCCTTCACCACAGCTGGCACTCCCATGTGGCAGGTGCCCAGGAATGAAAGAAAGCAGCCTTTCCTGGGCAGTGGTGACTCGTAGAACTAATACCATCACCAGGTTACTGCGTGTTAGGCATTGTAAAACAACTCTACGTTGTGTATTGTCCCCATTTTATAGATGGAGAAATGGGTTTAAACGGGGTGAACTTATCCAAGATGTCTCAGTTAGGGGTACTTTCACCTGCCTCCAAAGCCCATAATCTTTCCATTGATCCTTTAAGAAATGAAATGTTGGCTGTGACAGGTCTTTATCTTAGAACTGGAGGCCCGGTGGACAAATTCATGCACCAGTGGGGTTCTGTGACCTGGCCTGCGGGATAGTGCTGAAACTGGCTCTCCCATTTCCCCTAGGGTCCCAGATTTTGTAAGAGGGTATAGGCCAGGCCGAGAGACCCCACCAGTGCAAGATCAGGCCTGGGGAGAGATGTGGGAGGTTGGCCAGCTGGGAAGGGACCATGGGAGGGCTCCAGGGTGTGTCTGGCCTGTATTGCCCAGTCTCCATCAGCTGGACCCCAGCAACAAGCTAACCTGCTGGTTGGAGCGTCTACCCCCTGGTGGTCAGTGCACATCATAGCGAGCGGTTGAGTGGCCTTAACATATCATTAGCATATTATGCTTAGAATGGTAGAACGGCTGACCAGTTGACCAGACACTTAGCATATTAGGCTTTTATTATATAGGATGTGTCTCAGAGGATTTTAAACAGGGAGACATGTTTTGAAAGCATTACATTGGTAGAAAAAGGAATAGGGCCAAGGAATCGGGGAGAAGGCCACACAACCGCCTGAGCCAGTGACCATGGTAGCTGGGGTGGAGGTGTGGCCGCTTGACAGCCATTGGTATGAGTGACATACAGCCAGCAGTGGTGGGGAGGGAAAACTGATCTCCCCTGCAGACATTGAGAGGCAGAGGGATGCTGCAGATTATTGGCTCATCTGTGTGCTTAGCCTGTGGGAAGTAAGAGGTTAAGCATTCCCAAGCGGCCCTAGTTGTCTCACAAGCTCTGAGGCGTCCTTTATATCCCAGCTTCCTCAGAGCCCATGTGGGGTTGGCTGGTGCTTTGTGGTGATGAGCCAGTGGCAGCTCTGTGTGAATTCCCACCTGCACCCTCTCAGACAGGAGTTATAATCCTCACTTTGTAGATGGGGAAACTCTTGGCAATGCAAAACATTTCCCAATGTCACAGGAAGCGGCAGAGCTGGGTTTCAAACCCTGGGAGGATATCCCACATTTTTAACAACAGCAACAGTTTGAGAAGTTTTAAGTTCGTTGCATGCATTAACCCATGTAACAGAGGGGGCAAGTGAGGCACAGAGAAATCAAATCTTGCCCAACTAGTGAGTGAGTGAGGCACAGTCAGGGAAACGTGATGTGACCCTGAGATCTGTCCATTGGAAAGGGCAAGGCGCACATGTGGAATATCTAAGAGGGCCTCATGGGCGGTCCATGGGCCACAGGAAGGACTTACCCAAGCTGGCGTAGTGGGTGCCCTGTGCAGGCGTGCTCTTGTTAAGCTAGGTGAGCTGGCCGCACTAGCACCACGTGCAGGCCGAGGGTCTTTGGGAACACCTGCATTCATGAAGCTTGTGGGGTATACTCTCGCTGGAACTAAGAAAGTAAACCCTAGTCCTGATCCTAGCTCTAATAAAATGTCATTTACAAAAACAGGCAGCTGATGTGTGGGCCAGGGTTTGCCAATTTGACTTTAAAGTTTACATTAAAACATTTGCCTTGATTCCTGACTTTTTAGGTGCCCCCTTAGCTTGTGCCCTAGTAAGCGCGTCGTTCGCCTGGTCCCTGTCCTCACTCGGCTGACCCTTCCTGCTAGAACATGTTCTTACATGTCTCTTGTGGGGAACTGGAAATAGCCTCTCCGACCCTGAAGCTGGCGCTGCCAAGCCCCAAAGCCCTGAATTCCCTTCCCCAGCTCGGAGGAATGGCTCTCCTTTGCCACTAGAGGGCGCAGGTTACTCTCATTCTTGGAGCAAAGATATAAACAGGACTCTCCTCCAATTCCTCCTCCTCCTCCACTTCCTCCCCTCTTCCTCCATTCTGCCTCTCTCTGCCTCTCTCCCTCTCCTTCCTCCCTCTTCCCTCCTTTCTTCCTATCTCCTTCTGAACTTGTTCATTTAGTCACTCAACACTTTAGCTGAGCATCCATACGTGGTGGGCACCACGCTCATCGCCCAGAATGGAGTGAGCAAGACAGGCGTGGGCTGCCTACTTCCCTCCTGTCTGAATTTGTCATCCATCCTCTAACCATTCATTCATCCACCCTGTATGTACTGAGCACCTTGGCTGTGCCTGGCTCAGAGGGAGCCACGGTAATGAGAAAAACCACACTGCCGCAGTCCGAGGTTTCCCCACAGCTCCCCTTGCTTCTGCACCAGCCCCTACGTTCCTCCTCAGCAGTGAGAGGCACCTTTCAGAGCCAGATGACGCCACCCTCTGTTGGGAAGTTTGATGCCTTCCCACCCCTTGTTCTCCTTGCTTACCAGCAGCATGGCTTGGGACCCCTCACTGCACCTCTCTGAGCCCCAGTGCCATCTGCAAAGTTAGCTCACCATGGTGCCTACCTCAGGGAGCTGTTGTGAGTACTGCCATTGGTCAGAATCCCCAGGAAACAGACTCTGAGATGCCGCCGTGTAGAGACTTACTAAGGCATGCCCTTGGAGTCAACTCCCGCAGAGGGGAAGGGAAGGAGAGTGGGAGGGCAGAGGGAGACGTGGGACTGAGAGGCAGCCCTGACCACAGCCTCAGCTGACCCCATGGGGAGCTTTTCGGCTACAATGACCTGCACAGATGTTCCAAGTTGAGCCGTGATGACGGGGCCTTCATGACCCACATCACCCAGGCACTGGCAGCCACCCCTTGGAGGGTATGAGCTTTGATATGAGGCCACTCTCTGCCTGTGACTCCATCCTGGAAGGGCAACAGCTGAAAGCTGCCTGCTGACCTCTCCTGCATCCGAGGCAATCGGTCCTTCCATGCCCACTGCAGGCACCGGTGACATCCTGCATGTGGAGGATTGCACAGTGCCTGTCTCTAGCTATTGTTGTTGTTATGCATTTTATGTTGCTACTATTTTTAGAGACCAATAAACAGGCCATTTTAATACGATATTATATGCTCAATGGACAAGCCAGGGGCACTCAGGTGCACTTCCACATAGCCAGGCACAACCCAGTGTATTCTGAATCCGAGGGTCTGGGGCTGCTCTGAGCATGCATTTCCTACATGTCCCAGGTGATGTGGAGTACCGCTGCCCCCAGGAAAACCACTGTTTCATGAAAGCAGGAAATGGGTGCTGAGAGGACAGGAACAGTCGCTATTTCCTACACCCATTTCCCAGGAGGGGAAGCTGGAGCACAGAGGTTCTGAGCCACTGGCCCAGTCATCCTCCTGTAAAGAGTAGAGATCGTGCCAGACATTGTCAAGAGCCTCAGGCACCCCCATCCCTTTGGACAGAGCCTCGGCTTGCTCAGGTATTTATTAGTGGGCAACGACTTTATCTCAGGGAATCTCAGGTTGATCCTTGACATAGGGGTGGGCATGTGACCTTTATCTGACCAATAGCACACAAGAGGGAATCTGTGCTTCTGGAGAAGAATTTGCTTCTCGTAGAAGGTGAAAGGGGGAGGGGGGTGAGGACTCTCAGACTCCAACACCTGCCCATTAGCAATTCCTGCCTCCGAATGCAGGGGTGATAATTGGAGGTTCAGAGGCCACTCCTGAGGTAAACAGTCCTCGAGAAGAGGGCCATGGAGTAGAGCAATGTGTAGAGTGCTGTAGAGGGCCCCCTGGGAAGGCACATGGGCATTTCTTTAATTATCTTCAGCTGAACTCAGGGCGATAGACAGAGCCACGCCCTGGGGACTTGCTTCCCCAGAAAGGCTGGACGTGTTATCAGTACTGACTTTTAACCTTGCGCAGGTGTCGGGATTATGGCTTTGATATGTAAGCCCAGTCCTACACCAGGAATGCTCAAGCCTACTCAAGAATGCAAATAATCTCCTTTGATCCTAAGTTTTAGTGATACTTCCTAGTATTTGGGTATATATGAATGAACACTCTGCGTGGGCTC